TAAAACAGTTTTTTAATACAAAAATTAAAATTTTTATATTAAAAAGTTGCTTTAAGAAGCAGAAAGAAAGTCGTCCCAAACGAAGCCTTAATCTATTAATTAGGATCTTAGGCTTATAATCAAGAAATAATGAGTTTGAGGGGCTTTGCAAATATGGTGTATGAATTTGTGATTAAAGTTTTATTTGGGATGATTTTTTAATTGCTTCTTAAAGCAATTTTTTTAGTGCAAAATTTTAATTTTTGTATTAGAAAGCTTCTTTAAGAAGCATTAAGAAAGCTGTCCCAGATTTCATTGGGATGACTTTCTTACTATTTAAAACAACTTTTTAGTAGAAAAATTAAAATTTTTTATTAAAAAACTACTTTAAGAAACAGCAAGAAAACAACCCCAGAAGAAGTCTAAATTTGCTCAAAATTTCACTCCCTACTTTCATAAAGGCTTCATTGAGTAAATCGAGAACAAAATTTAAGTACCATAAATATTACAATGAAGAAAATTACAGCTCAAATTCCTCAACTACCATAAAAATGTTTCAATGAAGATGCATGTATACTATACATGCCAAACTATTTACATCCATTAAGGGAAAAGAGAAAGACTGTTGAGATTGCAAGCCCCAAACTGAGAGAAATGGAGAGAAATTCACCAGCTGAACTCAGCTTTCTGAAGTTTTTCCACCATTGCTGCATGTTTCAGTCCATCAAGATGATATTCATAAACTTTCTGACTGTTCACCACAACATTGCAGAGAGTGCAAACCCTAACATCATCAGCATATGCTCCTGCTTCAAGAATTCTACTTCTTTTTGTCTCTAGATCAACTTCGCCGTCCGGAACGGCGGCGGGCTCGGCGGCCCTCTTTTTGTTGGTGTCAAGTTTTTCATTTTCATCAGATGTGCTCTCCCCTGTCCCGGCAGGCTCAATTGACTGAGCTTTTGCAGCCTCGCGTGTGATGCTATCTTGCAGCTGCTTTAGCTTTTTCTTGTGTTTTTTACCCTCGTTGTGAGAATTCAAAACGTCTTGGCTATTGCAATCTACTTTGCAGACCTCACAATATGCTGATTGCACAACTTTTGTGGCCTTCTTCAAGTTCTTTTTCTTTATTTTTCTAGATTTTGGTGGTTTCCCTGGGTTCTGAAATGTGTCAAAAGCTACAAACCATCAGGGGGGAACTTATCATATCAACACCATCAAAACTTAAAAAAATAAAAAGCAAATAAGATGATAACAATATTTCAAAAAATACAAAAAAAAAAATTCTAGTTTTCCTATCATAGATTTAGGTTTTGTTTGGGATAGCTTTCTAAAGCAACATTATAGTGCAAAAATTTCTAGTTCAAAAAATTTTTATACTAAAAAATTGCTTTATAAGATAGTAAAAAAACCATCCCAAATAAAGCCTTAAAAATTTTTGTACTACTGGTTGGGATTATGTTCAATTGAGCCAGTTTTAGTAATGTAATATCCACTTTAAATTGGGTTTTTTATTAAAGTGCCGCCCTAAAAATATGATTTTATTGTTATACCATGATTACTACCCTACTTTTTAATGTTAATCATCATAATCACAAACTTAAGCTAATATCCACTCATACAACTAGCATTACTTAATTTAAGCTTGGTTAAGTTTACTTGCCCCAAATTTAGACTCAGGCATGAAGAGTCCAGGACTTGCATTTCTGATTGATCACACCCAGTAAAATGATTGTTTTTAGGCAGATTTTCTCTCCCAAAAGCTTAAGTTGACCCTATGCCATCCAGTCTAATTGTTTTTATGAGGTTGATTTCAAGGATTCTACAGATGGCCGACCAAGGCTGTGGGTAAAACACAGCTCATTTTGATTTGTTGGTTAGGAATTTTGGCTACCAATTAAATTAAGATTTTGAATTTAAGTCTCGTGTATGTGAAACGTGTGTGAGTTTGAATTAATTGGCATAAATTGTCCTCCCCCACCCAAAAAAAAGGCCTGTGAGTAAAATTTATCAAATAGCAAAGGTGACACTTTTGTAAGAGTTAATGAGTTGTATGCTAGTTTGAGTGCGACTCTTCATTGATGAATAAAAGAAATCCCGCAGTTTAAATTTTATTTCATACAAAAGCCAAGTGAATGCAAGTACAAAGAACTAAAGCAAATCCCATTAGTTATGTGAAAGAGATGATGATGTGGAAATGGAAAAGAGGGTACGATCGCAGGGACCGAAGAGAAAAAGAGCCAAAGATAAGGTGATGTTTTTCCATAGAGACTGGGAAGAAATGAAGTTTATTATTGGCTGTTCTGCGTTCCAAATTATAAAATTTGAAAATGCTCTACTTCCCCAAGCCTCCTTCCATAAAGCTCCCAAATTCATGCTAAAGCTTTTTTAGAAAAAATAAAGTAGAAAAAAAAATAGAAGTAGAAAAAAAAAAGCTACTTTGAATTTTATTATTTGATTCCATACAAAATGTTTTAAGTACATATTGTCCAAAAAATTTATAATGAAAACAAACCAAAGCTATTTATAAAAAAAAAAATCTCAAAAATGAGTTGGCAGTTTGAAGAGGAAAAAAAGGACACGAATTGCCTTCTATTGATTGACTTGTGGGTCCTATAATTATTTAACACTTGCTCTCAAACTGAAATCCTGACTGATATAAATCTACCATTTTGAATTTTTTTTAAATATTTTTGAACATAGGGTTGCAGAGTCCTTTGATAAAACTATCTGTGAGTTAATTTTCTGTTGGCACATATGAAGTGCAAATCAACCTACGTTCTAGAATCTCGTTTATAAAATATTTATCCACATCCATATGCTTGATACAAGTATGTTGTATTGTATTATTTGCTATGCTAATAGATGTTGTGTTGCAATCCGAGAGCCCAATCTTATGTTTTAACGATAACAAATATTATTGGAATTTATTTAGTTTTTCCTACTTGTTATTATTGCATATATTTTTCTATTTGTACTACCATTTAGATACATCATACACCAAACAACACTAAAGGATCAAGACTCAAGGTTGGGTAGTATAAGATTGATTTCTGCAATAATCTGTACTTTTATTTTTCTTGAGTTAATATATTGTAAAAGGTGTATGTTAACTTAGCAACCTGATAGGAAATACTCGAGTTTGCAAGTAACCCTAAGGGTAATACTTGAGTTTGCGAGCAAACCTAACACCAATTGGTGAAAAACAGCGAGAATAGCACAAAATCTGGGAGAAATCAGCTCAAACGATAGATTACAATACAAAAATCAAAGCCAAACAAGCACGGAAACAAGATACAAGTGATCCTCAATTCAAGAGAAGGATCGTCTCTCCAAAATCTCTAGACAAGAGAGTCTAGAGCCCAGGTCGCCAAAGAACACTAATAGAGAACAAAACAAAACATAACCTCCACCACCTAAAACAAATCATGCTCTTTAATACATAAAATTTCCTAATCTAATTTCCCTCTCAAGCCCTAGCCGCCCCCTCCTTTGCAATTTGAATTCAATTTGGACGAATAGGGCCCATTAATGTGGGCGTCAAAAAGGAAGGGAGGCGGGTAAGTGTCGCCTCCCGGCTACGCCGGTTCAAGGTGAACTGGCCTAACAATACCGTCCTCCCAAAGAATCATCTTGTCCTCAAGGTGAAAACAATGAAATTGATGTTACTCCCTCTCGTATGGCTTCCATGTGGCATCGTAGTCAGGAATGTTCTTCTACTTGATCAACACTTCTTTAGTTCTGTCTTCTTTCTAACGAACCCCCATCAGTTCTAAGGGTTCCAAAACCACCACTAAATCTTCAGTAAGTGTCACCGGTAACTCGGAGCTGATTGTATAGTCACTAATGGCCCTTTTCAGCCGAGATACATGAAAAAACAGATGTATAGTCGTCGCTGGTGGCATTTTTAGCTGATATGATACTGCTCCGACCTTCTCCAACACTTCATAAGGTCCAAAGTACCTTAGAGCAAGCTTCTCATTCCTCCTATTAGCGACTGTCTTCTGTATGTATGGTCGGAGCTTCAAGAACACCCTCTCCCCCACTTCGAACTTGATGTCCTTCCTATATGCCCATCGGCTTGTTTCTTCATAATATGTTGAGCTCTCAGTAGATGTTTCTTCAACTCCTCTAGAACTATCCCTCTCCTCCAATTACTCCTCCACTGAAGAAACTGGAGTACTGCCACTCCCAAAGTGTACCAAGTGGGGATGCTCACTTCCGTTTAATACCTTGAATGGGGGTCATCTGAAAAGCAGAATGAAAAGAGGTGTTGTATTAGTTCTCAGCCAATGATAGCCACTTGGCCCATAGCTTGGGTGCCTCCGAAACAAAGCATCTCGGGTAAGTCTCCAAGCTCCTGTTGACTAATTCTGTTTGGCCATCCATTTGTGGGTGGTAAGCGGTGCTCCTCTTCAGAACTATCCCCTGTAATCTGAACAACTCCCTTCAAAAGTGGCTGAGGAACACCTTATTTCTATCTGATACTATCATCTCTATTACTCCATGCAATCTGACCACCTCTCTGATGAAAGATGAATCAATTATCACCGCAGTGTAAGGGTGTTAGAGGGGGATGAAATGAGCATACTTGCTCAATCTGTCCACCACCACTAAAATCACCGTGAAATCTTCTGAACAGGACAACCCATCTATGAAGTCCATGGATATCTCCTCCCATACTCATCCCGGTAGAGCCAACGACTGTAGTAGTCCTCCTGGTGACATAGTCAAGTATTTGTTCCTTTGACAGATCTCACATCTGGCCACCATCTCCTTTAAATCTTTATGCATCCCCTTATAGTAAAGCTCTGAAGCTAACCTCATGTATGTCTTCTGTACCCCTGAATGACCCTCAACAGCGCTTCCATGAAACTCCTGGAATAAGTTTGGGATGTGAATCGAGGTCGGGCCATCACAAACCTCCCCTGATATAGCAATTTGTCCCCCCTCCAATGAGTACCCTGGGTGGCTACCCTCTTCCCTTAGTACATCTGCCATGATCTTTCCCAAATTCTCATCCCTAGCACTTTCATTTCTGATGGCCTCCCAATCTAGCATCAAAGAAACATATAGTGCCATTGTCTGCAACTCCCTCATACATCTGGATAAGGCATCTGCCACCTTGTTCTCCACTCTTGGCCTATATTGAATCTCAAAATCATACCTCAGCAACTTGGACAACCACCTTTGATGCTCCTCTGTCACCATCCATTGTTCCAGCAGGTATTTCAAGCTTCGCTAATCTGTCCTGACAATGAAATGCCTCTATAGTACGTAGGGACGCCACTTCTGGATGGCCAAAATGATGTCCATTAATTCTCTCTTATAGACTGAATTCAGTCTAGCTCTAGCAGTCAACACCTGGTTGAAATAGGCGATGGGCCTATGACTCTGCATAAGCACTGCACCCAACCCATACCCAGATGCATCTGTCTCCACTATGAAGATCTAAGTGAAATCTAGCAAAGCTAGGATCGGTACTATAGTCATAGCCTTCTTCAAGCTCTCAAATGTTGATGTGGCCACCTCCCCCCATAGGAAACTGTCCTTCTTCAACTGCTCAATAAGTGGCCATACTATGGTGTTATATCATTTTATAGACAGTCTGTAGTAACATGTCAGTCCTAGGAATCCTCTCAGCTCCTTCAGATTTTTAGGAACTGGCCATTTCAGCATTGCCTCAATTTTGGACTAATCTGCTGTCACCCATTCTTTTGATGCAATATGGCACAAGTACTCTACACTGGCTTGTGCGAAGCAGTAATTCTTCAAGTTGGCTCTCAGTTGGTGCTCCTGCAACACCTCTAACACATTTTTAAATGCTCCCAGTGCTCATCTTCTATCCTGCTGTAGACTAGAATGTCATCAAAGAATATCAGTACAAATCGTATGAGATAAGCTTTGAAAACCTTATTCATAAGTGCCTGGAAAGTGGTTGGAGCGTTGGTGAGGCCAAAAGTCATCACCAGAAACTCATAGTGTCAGAGTTCTGAAGGCAGTCTTGGGCACATCCTCCATTCGGATCTGATGGTATCCTGATTTCAGATCTATCTTGCTGAAGATCACTGTTCCACTTAATTCATCTAACAGCTCGTCAATAACGGGTATAAGAAGCTTGTCTGGTATAGTTTCCTTATTGAGCGCTCTGTAGTCCACAC